AGAGATTTTTGTTTTTGCAGTTCTACATCCTCAGCCCTTTTATATATATATATATACATACATATATATATATATGTATGTATGTATATATACACACATATATATACATATATATACATGTATGTATGTATATATACACACACATATATATATATATATATATATATATATATATATATTTGAGACAAGGCCTCACTAAATTGCACAGCCAGGGCTCGAACTTGGTAATATTCCTGCCTCAGCCTTCCATGGAACCTCTAGTTTTAGTTTTTTAGGTGTTAGAATTACACATATACACCATCTGTCCAGCCAAAAACAAACAGACAAACAAACCACCTAACTTTTACAGTTTCATTTTGCCCTGCCACTTACAAAGAGTGTCAATTTCCAAGTCTGTGTGACCCCGGGAGGAATATACACACCCCAGTCACTGAGATCACAAGACTGTCCATATCTGTGTCTGCCTGTGGGGGTGCAGATGCCCTAGCTAATATAATCCCAGAAGCATATGCAGCCCCTTTGGCACCTCCACCAGTGCACTCCCCCCAGCACGTGTGACTGCTGGAAGGTCCAGATTCCTGTCTGAGGGACCCAAGGCTATTCGCACTGCAGTTGTGGTGCCAGGCACAGTTTCCACTCTGCAGTGTGTGTGACTGCAGCCGTGCACACTCCCACCCGTGAGACCTCAGGAGTGTTCATACTCCTCGATAAGATTCCAGATTATCCACAGCCCATCTCTACCATTGTAAGGTTGTCCACACAATGATACGGTCTATTCTAACTTGTGTGTGTTGGTATATTCTAAAATAATGCTGGACTTCTTTCTCGTCACCACCACCCTGCCTGACCTTTGTGGCCATGACCCATGAGGGGCTGTTCGTGCCTAAATTCAGGGGATCTTGTATCTCCAGCTCCACCAACACTGCAAGCGCTCCCTTCCTTTCCTGTTTCCCTTCAGTGGCCTCAGTGGACCACTACATTTCTACCTCCTCCTTCCCAAACCCCTGCGCGCGCACACACACACACACACACACACACACACAGAGGCATACACATAGGTGCACAAGGCTCACCAGCCATGGCCACTGCTGAATGCCAATCCTGCCACCAGCCGAGACCAACACGGAATCCCTGACCTGGCACCTTTTCCTGGAGTGATCACATTTGGATGGCTTCCATTGTGGAGGAGACAGCATTGTGTTCTGACTGGAGTAGACACTGGATATGGATTTGCCTTCCTCAGTTACACTGCTTCTCTGAACACTACCATCTGAAGCCATGTGTGGGGGCACACACTTATTATCCTAGCCCTAGGAAGGCTGAGGCACAAGGAATATGAGTTTGAGGGCAGCTTGTGCAACTTAGCAAGACCCTGTCTCAAAAAAAATGAAAAAGAGCTGGGCATGGTGGCTAGAGGCTGAGGCAGTGATAGAGTGCTTGACTAAAATGCATGAGGCACCAGCCATGGCGGCACATGCCTGTGAGCTCAGCACTCAGGAGGCTGAGGCAGGAGGATCGCCACAAGTTCGAGGCCAACCTGGGCTACACAGTGAGTTCAAGGCCAGGCTGAACTACATAGCCACACCCTGTCCCCCCCCAAAGAAAAACCCTTCCACCTGTAGGTTTAGAGAATGCCTCTACCACTGTGGTGTGGAACAGCACAACAGTGCTTGTGATCAAGGAACTCACTTCCCAGCAAATCAAGAGCAGCAATGGGCTCTCGCTCATGGAGTTCGCTGGCCTTACTATGTGCCCACCATCCTGAAGCAGCTGGCTGGACAGAACTATGATGCCCTTATAGAGATGCAGTTTCGATCCTGGCTAGGCGACAATATCCAGCAAGACTGAGACGAGATTTTGCAGAAGGCCACATGCTCTGAGTCAGTGTCCAGTATATGGAGCTGTTTCTCCCATAGCCAGGATTCACAAGTCCAGGTGGGGCTCAGCAGCAGAGTGCTTGCCTAACAGGCCGGAGGCCGGGTCCCCCCAGCACTGCACAAAGGCAGGGTGGGGGTGGATACAGGAATGGAGCCACTCACCATTCCCCTTAGGGACTCGCTAGCAAAATTCCTGCTTCCTGCTCCTGCTACGTTATTATTTTTTTTTCCTGCTACTTTATATTCTGCTGAGGGAATGCTGCCACTAAGACTAACACCCTGCCAGGTGGGGCCCCTCACACCTCAGAACCCAGCAGGCAAGGAAGGGGTTAGCAGCGTTGGCTCAGGTGATGATCCTGACTACCTAAGGCATTTGAACTGCTGATCCACAGGGAGTAAAGAATATTCTGGAATCCAGGAGATCCCTTGGGGGCATCTCTTAACATTGCCATGCAACTTCCACCAAGATCAATGAAAAACTACAGCACTGGGAGGCTGAGACAGGAGGATTGAAAGTTTGAGCCCATCCTGGGCAATTTAGTAATTTACCAAGACCTGTCTTAAAATTTAAAAACAAACAAACAAACAAATAAATAAATAAATAAAAAGGGCTGGGGAAGTAGCTCAGTGTGAAGACCCTGGGTCCAGTCCCCAGAACCACACACACACACGACAATGGACCAATCTAGGCAGGAGCACAATCGCCCCAGGCCCTTGAGGAATGAAGGTACAAGTTGCCCTGTAGGTAAAGAACCTGGAACAGCTGAGAGGCTTCTGGAGGCAAAGGGAATACAGAATGGGCAGTGAGAGAAGGTAGTTACAGTACAAGTTACAACTGCATGACAGTTAACGGAGCCAAAGATCATAATTGTCACAAATATTTCCTCCTTGCTTTTGGGGGGTTTTTGTTTGTTTGTTTGTTTGTTTGAGACAGACCCTCATTATGCAGTTCAGGGTGGCCTTGAACTCACTATGTAGCCCAGGCTAGTCTTGAACTCACAGCAATCCTCCTGCCTCAGCCTCCAGAGTACTAGGATTACAGGCATGTGCCACCACGTCCAGCTACAGATATTTCCTCTTTATTTTGCTGTGAATATGTTTGTGTGTATATAGCAAATATCTTTGGTTTTTTCTTCTCATTCCTTTGTGTAACATGAGGTATGTTGAGTTTATGTCAGTATTTAAGTATTGTTAATTTTACATCGTACTAGGTGGCGTAATGGCCTTTTTATTGTCTTCATTTGGAGATTAAATATAGTTTAATGAGATGGGTATGACTGCCGAGTTGACAAGGGGTGGACTTTGATGTCAATCTTATGTGTCAGCTTGACTGGGAGGCCTAGTGCCCTGACTGACATTATTTCTGGGTGTGTCAAAGACTTTCTTCAGGTGAGCCTGGCATTTAAACTGGTGGGCTGAGAGGGATGCAAATTGCTTTCCCTGTGACTGCACATCACCCCTCCATCGGGGTCTGAGCAGAACGGAAGGGTTCAGGAAGAGGGATCCACTCTGCCTGCCCAACTGCTTGTATCTTCTGTCCTCCACAGGGACTTACACCCTCAGCCCACTGCTTCTCAGGGCTACACTACCAGCCCTCCTGGGTTCTCCAGCTTGTAGATGGCAGATTGTGAGCCTTTTCAGCTTTCATAATTCCTTATAAAGCCAGGTATAGTGGTGCATACCTGTGATCCCAGCACTGTGGAGGCTGAGGCAGAAGGATCACTGCGAGTTGGAGGCCAGCCTGGGCTACATAGTGAGTTCAAGGGCAGCCTGAACTATACAGAGAGACCTTGTCCCAAACAAGTATAATTCCTTATAATAAATCATACAATGTTTCTTCTCTGGAGAATCCTAACGGGTACACCAGCCATTTCACCTCCATCTCTAATACCTACACAAGTGCCCAGAGCTGTGTGCACAAGGCTGGTAGGAGCAAATGATAGGGAAACCTTGTAAAGGCCAAAGATTTGTGCAATCTGAGAGAAGCATGCCCAGGAAAACTTTGTGAATGTGCATCTATAGCCAATGACTGCTGCAGGGGGAAGTGAATGAGAGTTCGTGTCCTACCATGGAGCACCTACTGTATGTGCTACAGAATGAAAAGGACCTGTGTTGACAGGCATGGTAGCACACTCCTGTAATCCACTCAGGAGGCTGAGGCAGGAGAATTGCCGCAAGTTCCAGCCAGCCTGAGCTACATAGGGTGTTCAAGACCACCCTGAACAGCACAGTGAGGCCCTGTCTCAAAAAAAAAAAATGACCTGTGTGGCGGAGGTTTCTTCTTTCTTTCTTTCCTTGGTACTGGAGGTTGAACGCAGGACCTCATGCATTTTTAAAAATTTATTTGTTAGAGATAAGAGTCTTGCTATGTAGTTCAGGCTGGCCTTGAACTCACTGTGTAGCCCAGGCTGGCCTTCAACTCTTGGGGATCCTCCTGCCTCAGCCTCCTGAGTGCTGGGATTACAGGCGTGTGCCACCAAGGCCTGGCACCTCATGTGTTTTAGTCAAGGACTCTCCCACTGAGCTACATCCCCAGGCATTTAAAAAATCTTTATTTTGAAAGAAGATCTTGCTAAGTAAGTCACTAAGGTATCCAGGCTGGGCTTGAGTTTGCAATCCTCCTGCCTCAGGATTACAGGTGTGTGCCATCAAGCCCAGCTCCTTTTAAATGTTATTTTATTTTGAGACAGGGTGGAAGTTGCCCAGGCTGACTTGAATTTGTGATCCTCCTACCTAAACTCCCTCAGTAACTGGGATTACAGGCCTGAATCTCCACACTCATATCCTTAACAATAGCCACAGCCCTGCGCGTTTGGTTTGGGGGGAGCAAAACTCCAGGAGCAAAACTCTCAAACTCTTTTTTCCCCAGGGAACCCGACAGGTAACCTGAAAGAGAGAAAGGGGCTGAGCTCAGCATGAGGCTAACAGGGATAGAATGTCTCCAGAGTTTGGGGCGACAGGCGGACGGTAGATAGGGACGAGAAGGCCTAACCTTACTCCTTCAGAGAATTCACAAGGTCTCACCTTGGGGCACAGAATTATTTTTGTTGGATTTGGTGCCGTTGGGACAGGACCAGGGCCGTGTGCCTACAGAGCTGTGGCTCCTCACGGAGCCACGCCCCCAGCCCCTCCAGGGCCAGGGTTTAGGTCAGAGTCCTTGGACGTGCACCACCTACTTCTGCAGGTCCCGCCCTCCCTCCTCTACCCCTAAACCTGCGGGCGGGGAGCCTCAGTCGACTCAGAGGTCCCAGCGCCGCCACTTACCCTACCATGCTGCGCCGGCTGCCCGCCAGGCTGTGGAACGGAACTGCGAGGACTCAGGTGAGCGCGGCCGGAGCCTGCAGCGGCTGCGGCTTCCCCTCCCTCTGTCTCCCTGCTCTGCCGCTTCTTGCTTACCCCCCCACCCCCATTTCTCCATCCTCCCCTCTCTTTCTCTTTCAAAGACAAGCAGAGGGCAGAAGCCCGCAGAAAGGCCCGGCTCGGCCGTGGCGGCCCGGGGACCGGGGTAGGGGGACCTGGTTGGGCGTGGCTGGTCCTCCCGGGACAGGTCTGGGAGACAGGTGGAGAGGCCCAAGGGCCCCACGGAGGGTGTCCCCGAGGCTGGCTCCTGGGTCCCCTGCGGAGGGCGGGGAAACAACGCAGTGACCTTGCGGTCTGCAAGAGAGTTGAGGGACCCCTGGCAGCCTGAAGAGACCTTGAAGAGGACTCTGGGGACTCCCCCCAGTCCTTTCCTGTGGAAGCGAAGGCAGAAGGGAGGGCTGCGTGTTCCAGACTCTGACTCCACCTACTACTTAAGTTGTGAGGAATAAAATAGTCTGCGGGGGAGCGACCCAGGGCCTTCCACGGAACTACATCCTCAGACCTTTTGTATTTTCTCATTTCCACACAGGATTTGTTAGGGTTTTTTTGTTTGTTTAGTACCGGGGATCGAACCAGGGTCCAGGGTCCTTGCGCGTTCGAGGCAAGCAGCGGAACCACTGAGCTAAATCCCCGGCCCACAATTATCTTTTTTATTTTATTGATTGATTGATTTAGATAGAGTCTCGCTATGTAGCCCAAGCTGGCCTTGAACTCATGGCGATCCTCCTATCTCAGCCTCTACAGCACTGGGATTATAGGGGTGTGCCACCATGCCTGGCCATCTTTTCTTTTTTCTTTTTTTTTCTTTCCAGTTTTGTGACAGCTCAGGCTGGCCTTCAATCTTGTAGTGATCCTCCTACCTCAGCCTTAGCAGTACTGGGATTACAGGGATTTCAGGTGTGTGTCCCACCGCCCCTGCTAACCTTTTTTTTTGTTTTGTTTTGTTTGTTTGTTTTTTGTGGTGTTTTTTTTTTGGTACCAGGGATCGAACTCGGGTCCTCATGCTTGCACAGCTGGCTACGAAACCACTGAGCTAAATCCCTGGCCCCTGTTTTGTTTTTTTGGTACTGGGGATCGAACGGGCAGTGATCCTCAAATGGCTACACACTAGCCTCTTCCTATTGGATAAATCTACCCTGGAATTTGCAAGGATGGATTTCCAAATCTACCAAACAGGATCTGGGGAGTGAATCTGAGCTGGCAGGACCCTGGGTAATGGGAGGAACAGGTGGAGTTTATTCCCACACACCAGCAAAATTGGGGTATGTGCACCTAAAGCAGTGATTCAGGCAACTGCATGGCTCCAGACCCATAGACTGGAGTAGAAAAGCTGAAAATTAACCATGTGAACGCCAATACCAAGAAGCTGGAAAAGGAACAGCAAACTGAACCCTAAGAAAGTAGAAGGAAGGAAAGTATAAAGAGCAGCCAGGGCCACTGTGTCCTCATGCACGGTGGCCACCCTCACGCTGTAGGGTATGTTTCTTTTCCTACTTTTACTTTGCCGAAACTTGCTCTGCAGAGCTTGTTTATTTTCCCACCTTTAAAAAGAAGAGCAGCGGGGCATGGTGGTGCATGTCTATAATCCCAAAACTTGGAAGGCTGAGGCAGGAGTATCACCAGCTTGTGTTACACAGTGAGTTCAAGGCCAGCCTGAATTACAGAGTGAGACCCTGTCTCAAAAAACAAAACAAAAGAAGGGCCCGGGATTTAGCTCAGTGGTTTTCTATCTTGCAAGTGCAAGGACCCGAGTTCGATCCCCGGTAC